ACCATTGCAATATATGCAGCATCCCGATCTATTTTTGCAACATCCATTTGAAACACTTGTAACATACCTCTGAAACACTTGAAATGTACGCTTGCAATATGTGTTTTTCACCATTCTTCCATGCAACACAGAGCAGAGCAGGGAACGGCCGGTTCCGACCACTAGCGGCTGAGAATAGTGGCGCGACCTGGCAGCGGTCAGCTGCGCCCGCGCCGGCTAGCGACAGCCCCCTCTCCTGGCGCATGGCCTGGGTGCGGCGGAGGACGGAGCATGACATGGCGCAGCGGGAACAGAGACTGGAAATAGAGTTGGACCGGGCGGTTAATAACACCAGCAGCCCCTACAAATAGATTTGTGAAGACGACTCATTTAGAAACCATCCGTAGGGACGTCTTACTGTAGAGCCGCCTAAAAAAAAAGGAGACGTTGCTACAAATTCTTTAGTGTGGCAGTCTAGCTACTAGCTCTGAACATACTTAAAGGCAAAAGCAGTTGGATCTGCAGGAACAACACAGTACCAGTACGTACGTACGTCTCTCTCACATATATACTGTGGCACGAGGACACGGCAGATCAGCGTATTAGACGATGATGGACACGGATGATTGCTTGTTGGACCGGGCGATCCGTCCATGCTGACGAACTACTCCTTCCTACTAGCTCATGTAGGAGTATAAAGACGATGCAGGTTTGTTAGTATAAAGATCGATGCAGGTTGTTAGTAGTTGAAGCGTTTGGTGTACTCCATCATATCTTCAAGTCCATACAGTCTATGTATGCACTGTGTGGCCGACGTACGGTGCCATCGCCAACGTCGCTATACATCAAATGCATGCATTATTTGTTGCTGCTTTTTCTTCTGATCACTTGCGTTATTGGTGAGTCACACAAGAAAAAACGAATCGCTTGCTACTTAGCTATACGTACGTGCCGTTACATCCCCGTTCTCATGACAGCACTAGTACGATGGCTCTTCCGAAGCTAGTTTTTGAAAGCTCTAATTCATCAAAAAAAAATATACCTGCCCACGCTTTTAACAGTTTATCCAGATTGTAGCAATCTCAACAATCTATCTCCTCCAATTTTTACCATCTTTTTTAAGTGAACAGACAGGACATGCCGTTTGTATTAAATAAATAGAGGTAATTGGGCTAAGCCTAGAAGTCCAACAAAATAACAAAGAAGGACAAGACAAAAAACAATCATGTACTCTCAAAGCAGAAAATTTTAGAGCGCCTTCAACCTCTTGGCATAGGCAATACACCAAGAGCATGCCTCTTCTTGATCTTCGCCACCAATATAGATGGCCAAACGGGCGACTGAGCCTGTTAAGGCATGATCTTATTACCTTTTGTGTCGTGCCTTCGGCTCAGGCATGACCCCTACAAGGGTTTAGCTAGGCTGGGCCGGCCTGATGGCCCGACAAACCTGTTGCGCCCCTGCCCAGCTCCCTACCATTATGTCGGCATGCAAGTAAGATGAGGCTAGGTGGAGATAGGATGTGAGAGGATCCAGCGTAGGGGAGCCACGGTGAAGGAGAAGGAAGTGCTGGGCCGAGCGACAGCATGTACGGTGCGTGAGATGCGTAGGGTGGGATGCAGCAACATATATGCATATCTATTGGTTAGGCTAGCCAAGTCTTGCAAGCCGATCGGCAGTTCATCACATCCCGTCCTGTAGGTGCAACTCAACAAAAAAAATGCACTTTGGTGGTGCCCAATTTCGCTACATGATGGTCTCCTAATTGTTTAGATACAGTCAGTTTGTTGAATTAGGCGTGATGCGCAGAAACTGTTTTGCAATCACCATGATTGGTAAGGGTTCAAGTGATTGTGTCCTCAACCGCTGTGGAAAGGTTAACTGTTTGATTTATTTCTCTCCAAAGTTTTGTGTATTGAACTAGTTATTGTGCACTTGTGCTTTGTGAAAGGTTAAGTTCTCCTTTGGAACTTAGGCTCTCCACAACGTGTGTTTGAAGTGATGCCCAAACAAGAAAGAGAACATAGGAGCATCACTCTGCACTGTGGCAGGTGATGCTAACTTGTAGCGATACCATGAAAGTTGAGAGCGGCGTAAGTTCAAGTGTCGGTGCCCAAAATATAAAAAACCTTTTTTGTTTGCTCATTCCAACTATTGATACCGAAAACCTCGCGGGATGGACCAACAAATAGAGAAGTCAACATGGCAGCAGAACCACCTTGCAGTTGTTGATGGTGTAGTAGTCGTCGTGAAGATCGCATCAAGAGTCAATGCCAGTTTTTTTCGTGGGTCTTATTTTTTCCATCCAACATCACTACCCACTGTGGAAGGCCTTAGTAAGCTCCCATCTCTTCATGCCGGGTCCCTTTCTCATTAGCCAGCACTAACACCCTCTATGAGGAATGGATTACTTTGGTAGCCTGGTAGGTTCTGTTCAAAGAGAACAAAACGGCTACGGCATATACGTACAACTCCAGGACAACCGCTGCACATCACCTTGTCGTGAGTTGTGACTAACTACTACACGACACTGAATTTTCTTTCTTAACTAACCGTGGATTCAGGGAGCCAGGCATGCTTTTGACATGACCCATGTGCTACTTGCAAACCAGTACACGTACACCTCATCGCATCTCAAGATCTAAAAAAATGTCAGGGCAGATCAACTCAACATGCATGTGAAAAAGGGTAAAAGAGGGAAAATATGATGGCAAGCAAGGTCAACGCATCTCTAGGACGGTCATTTATTTGGAGAGCCTTTAGATATGTGCTTTCGGCCAATTTCGGCCATCCATTTCTCCTAGACTCCAATTCTTCAAAAAAAAAAAAAACTCGTAGATTCCTATAAATAATCAATATATCATACTGAAATCTTATATCTGAATTACTATAACTTTGGTGTAGCTTTCCTACACCAATTAATGCTCCTCATAGAAGTTGACTAATCTTAAGAGTTCAAAATTTATAAGATTTGGTATTCTTCGTATCTTATAAATAGGAGTAACCACGTGTCAGTAGTAGTTTACTACTTCCTCCATTCCTAAATAACTGTCGTTATGATATTCGTGCTGTTTAAACTTTCTTAAATTTAGCTAGATTTGTAAAAATTATTAACAATATTTTTTATCTCTAAATAAGTTTATTATAAAAATAGATTTAACGATCTATCTAACGATACTAATTATGTACTATAAATATTAATATTTTCTTGTATATAGTTTGTCAAAATTAAAAGAGTTTAACTTGTCAAGAGGTGAGAACGACAGTTATTTAGGTCCAGAGATATAGTAGAGGTGAAGGATTACTCGCAATTCAAGGCTGAATGCAGAAGAAAAAGGTGGCCAAAACCACATGAGTAAATACGGAGCAAGTAACTGCCGTCCTGGCGATGGCACACCGCACACCAGCTGCCAGCATGAGCATGTGAGCAATTTCACTTTGAGTCACCTACAGCACCACACTATTCCAGCGTCATTTCAACGGCTCAAATTTATGGGAGGGAGTTGTTGAACGCTGCGATCCACGCAATAAAGAATTGCAAAGGAAGATAAGGGTAACTTGCTTGACTTCCAGCAACGCTTCATCCGCTCTGTTTGTGTTCGTTCATCAGGTGGCCCTATTCTCACTTTTTTTCCCCCAGCAAATCACAGGTGCAGTCGTGCAGACGTGCAGCCACATATCTTTAAATCAGGGCCGACGAAATTCTGGAGCTCAAAAGCTAGACACACCAACTATCTTTTGCATTCCGTCAGTTATTCAGTACGTTCGTTTGTTGGTTTTAGCAGAGTTTATTAGTCATGATATAGTGTTTTCTCTCATAACAAACCAGTCATAGCCGAGCTTATTAGCCCAGAAACCAACCAGCGAACAAACTGATTAAAAAAAAGAGAGAGAAGTACCGCAGATTTATTGCTGCATGCTGATAGACTGATAATAGAATTATGAGAAGCAGGTCCTGGGATCTGAAAAAGGGCAGACCAGGATATCCGCTCCCCAGAAATCAAAGAAAAACCAGAGGAAAAGAGCACCGGAGGGAAGTTATTTTTAGTGTTTCAGATTTCAGAAGGGGAAATGAAAGGAGCTGCCACTTTCATCTTTATCTGAAGAAGATGGAGAAGACAAGACAGCAAGGTGGTCAAAAGCCAGACCAAACGAGACAATCAGTGTACTTGTGTGGAATAATAAAATAAAATAAAATCGCAACAGCATAAAAGAAACCATTTCTTTTGTTTTCCCTACAGAAGAGAACAAACTAAAGCTGGAGAGCGGTGTACAGCATAGTCCGCGCTAGCTTGCAAGTAGGAAGACGGCAAGAGACACAATTCCCTAGAAACCGCCCAAAAGCTTCCTGCAATCCGGCGGCTTTGGCGTTGAACTCCCTTCCTTCCCTTGTTTGATTAGCATCGGCTGCCAAAGATTTCTCGTTTATTTTTCTCGGTTCGGAAGGTGCCGCGCAGGGGGAGGGAAATAAATCGCTCCGGCGAGATTCCTGTGGAGATGAGTTAGGTGCAAGGACCACTCATAAATTCCGCCCTGTTCTTTCAGATCTGCTCCGTGCTGTGTGTGCTTCTGCCTCCCTTGCGTCGAGAAGAAATTCATTTGCTAGGCCGGCCCACCCAGGGATAGCGTTTCTGTTCTGGTCACCCATGCGTCGTCGCCGGAGTCCAATCTCGCCGCTCGGAGTTTCTTGACTTCGTCGGAGTTTCCATTTTCCCGGTGCCGGGGGTCAACTTGTTCCTCTCAAAGGTTGAATTCTTTCACCCCGAGGATTTCGTGTCGAGTCGCGCTGATTTGATTTCCACCGCTCAGTGGTGAGAGTAGCGTGTTCTTGAAGCAGAGCTCAGTTCCTGCTTTAAAATTCCTCCCTTTTCCCTTGGTTTCTTTGCTCTCGCTCGCCTTTGCCGCGATTTGCTTGCTGCCCAGTCCACACATCCTCCGTTCTTGTCTTGTCTAAATCTTGCGCGGCAGCTTTGCGGCTTCTTCCCACACTCGTTTCCCCTGTCTCGGATTTTGCGTTCCCAATGGGCAACGCGTTCGCGTGCATGCCGCGCAAGGAGCAGCGGGGCGCGGCCTTGGTGTCGCGCAGCAAGCGGATGGGGAGCGCGCGGTCGGCGCGCGGCGGGCCCAAGCTCACGCCCGCGGAGGAGGAGCTCCTGCACCGCCAGGCGCTGGCCATGGCCATCCACCAGCACCTCGACGCCGGCGGCTCCATGTCGCGCCGCATCGACGCCGGGGCCTCCCTGTCCCGGCGCATGGGACCCGGCTCCACCAGCTCCCGCCGCCGCGGCGACCTGCCGGACTCCGTTACGAATGCCAAGCCCGTAAGCCTCATACTACCTACCCTTTTCTTTCACTTCCAATTTCACTTGCTTGCTTTCTCCAACCTTGTCCTGCGTTCTTGCGCTCTACATCCAATATTAGTGTTATTAATGTTACCTTAGAATTGTACATTTTAATGCTGCCATAATTTTCTGTATATGGTCAATTGTGCCAAGCTTCTGTAATCCATAGTATTTGGTCATTTGCAATATGTGCTTAGGTAGTTAGGTGTAAGAATTAGCGCTGGACAGTTCCTAGAAATTGTTCTGGTAGCAACTTTTCATACAGATTTTTCATGATTGAGGTGTTTGTTCAGTAGCATTCTGCTCTTAAAATCAGTACGTCACTATTGCGGGGTAGCTTGGACTGTGACCTGACTCCAACTTTGGCCTGGATGTATTTGTTCGTATGTAACTGCTCTTGGTTGATCTATATTGATTTATAATGTGGTTGTTAGTGTCGGACTTAATGTGTTTGGGTGAGTAGTGAGTTCAACTAGTTGTTTGTGTTGTGCCTTTTTGTTTGCCGAAGGATTTTTCTTCTATTTTACTTGGAAACTGTCCTAACCTTTTGAATTATTTTTGTCTCCCATATAAACATTTTCAATTATTTCTCTGTCGCTTCCTTGGTTAGGTAAAGTTGAGTTGTATTTGAATAGTGACTTTCTGCCAATAGTTAAGTGATAACAACTTGGTGTTCCCGGTTCTGGAACATGTTAGAACTTCAAGGTAGTTCCATCGTGTGAAATTATAGCATACTGAATAGGAAGTTGTGTTTCCATCTTGCTTGGTGCTGTACTCCTGTGCTAAATGCCCTGTTCAAGTATATATATACTTCAAAACTAAATAACCTAGCTTGAGTCTTTAGATGTCATTGTAAGCATATATGCCTAATACTTTGCTACAATTTGGAACCTTGATCTTGTTCATAATAAAATGGTGGTGCAGTTGCTTTTCCCCTGTGCCAGCCAAGATAGTTCTGGTTTCTTTTTAATTCAGTTCTCTTGGTTGCTGGGCATGCCTTTTCTTATTCTCTGCATGCTTTTCACCTTAAAGCATAACAGGAATTTTTTCTTCAAATGTTCATACACTTGCTAATTCTCTAAAAATTATGGATTATTTAGTAGCCTATATATCATTGTCTTATGCCACTATATGTTCAAAAGGTATCTTTGTGTGCAACTCTTGTCACACATAAGTACAAGACTTGGTTGTCTATTCAAGGAGAAATTTATATGGCATTGGGACTACAAGACAATGCTAGCACCTCAGCATTAACCTAACTGCTTTAACAGCATGGTCCCATAATCAAAACTTTGTCTCATTTATAACTTGTTTGCTAGTTACGGTTTTTGTTGCCTGACCTGTAAATTCCTAAGAGTAGTTTTGTCTCTTTGTCCTTAGCCTTGTCAACAGTTAAAGTAAGAAGAAAATGTCTAACATTTTCATACAAACATTATCTTGTGGTTTCTTAGAAAAAAAAAGATTTTGAATGGTGCTGCTGGTATATGCTTTCAGGCCCCAATTGTTCTGGAGAATTTGGAAACAAAGAAATTTGTCCTTGTTCATGGAGAAGGTTTTGGTGCTTGGTGTTGGTACAAGACCATCTCACACTTGGAGGAAGCTGGTTTAGATCCTGTTGCCTTAGATCTCACAGGTTCTGGCATAGACCATACTGATACAAACAGCATAGCTACATTAGCAGATTACTCCAAGCCATTGATTGATTACCTTGATAAACTTCCTGAAGATGAGAAGGTGGCTGTTACATCTGCTGTTCTGTGTACATTTATTTTTTTGGGAGGAAACATTCAGCTTTTCTGACCACTGTGTTTGTAACGACGATAATGCAGGTTATTTTGCTCGGCCATAGTTGCGGAGGTGCAAGTGTGTCATATGCATTGGAGAAATACCCCAAAAAGATATCAAAGGCGGTGTTTCTTACAGCTACGATGGTGAAGGATGGCCAGCGGCCCTTTGATGTGTTCTCTGAGGAAGTATGGAATCCCCCTTTATGTGTTTATAACATTTCCATGTACATATTCAATGGGAGCTTACGTTAACCTGCATTTCACAGCTCCGGTCAGCAGATGTTTTCTTGCAAGAATCACAGTTTTTAGTTTATGGAAATGGAAAGGACAAGCCTCCTACTGGGCTGATGTTCGATAAACAGCAGATCAAGGGGCTTTATTTCAACCAAACACCTTCCAAGGTGAGTACATTGTGTTCTACCATTATGCAACCAGAACCTGTTAAAAGATGTATTGTATCCAGCATTCTCATGCCAGCCTGTATTTCCAGTTGACTTGTTAACAAGTTTGCTCATGCTTCATAATATGCAGGATATGGCGCTAGCCGCGGTGTCCATGAGGCCTATCCCTCTAGCCCCAATCATGGAGAAGCTCTCCCTCACCCCAGAGAACTATGGCACTGTCCGCCGCTACTTCATCCAGACGCTCGATGACCACATGCTGTCGCCGGACGCCCAGGAGAAGCTGGTCCGCGAGAACCCTCCTGACGGCATCTTCAAGATCAAGGGCGGCGACCACTGCCCCTTCTTCTCGAAGCCGCAGTCTCTCAACAAGATCCTGCTGGAGATCGCACAGATCCAAGCTCCCTCGGCGCTGCTTCCAGGCAAGGCGAGCGCTGAGGAAACTGCTGCTGCCACGGAGGCGGTGGCGGCGAAGTCATGACTGCATGTATGTAGTGTACATGAAAAGAAAAATGAGTAGCACATAGGTTGCAAAAGGGAGGGAGGGAGGTCTGGGGATTAACTGAAACCAGCTGTGTCGGATAATAATGTAGGGAGGTCAAAGTGTTCGTTTCTTTCTTCTGGATCAGATCAGATCATATAGAGAATGAGAGGTGGTCAGCAGATAGTTGCATTTCTTTCTTTACCTTGTGAATGAATGAATGAGATATGAAGTCTGTCTGTGATGTGTGCGCTGCTTGTACAGTGAGAAATGCCAATGCAGATAGTACTTGTGGTGATGCTTAATTCACCAACAATTATTGTTAAGTTGATGCTAATCCTCTCGTTCATAGCCCCCTTCCTCCTTCCTGGTGGTGTGGCGCAGCGTGTGGTCGCTGGATCATCCCACGTGGCACTCCTGGCACCGTTGGATGCGATCTTATCCAGGCATTCCCTACCACTCACGCACCTCTCTTTATTTCTGCTTCTGCTTGTGCCCCAAATTTGCTGTCGCGTCGATCGCGCCGCCGCCGCCCGCGCCGGCCGCGCGACCTCACCTGTCGCCGAGGACTGGGCGCGCTTCCACCCACGCCGCCGCGCGAATTCGCCGTCCCAGGCCCTCGTGGAGGGGCATACAGCGCACAGGAAGGCGAGTAACTTCGGTGGGTGATTTACAAGGCAAACCCCTTTCGATTTTGTTGAATCTGGCTGAAATCGAAGCGAAATTTATCACATCAGCTTGGAAGTTGGAACACATGTGTTCCAATGCTCAAACAACACTGTAGTGTAGCCACTTCAAATTTACTGCACCTTGAGTTTTCATGCCGTGCTTTGTCAATTTCCTTCCATAACATTACATGTAGTAGCCTAGCTATGCCTTTGTGGAGCTGACTGACCCAACCATCACCAAACGGATCAATGCTTTGCTTGCCGACAGCGATGTTCTACTAACGCGTATACATACATACATATAGAATTTCAGTTGCGCTGTCATATGATAATTTTGTGCTCCAAATATGCAACTTCATGTTCCTTGTCCCATTTTCTGCAGGGAAGGGAACACCGATTGAATAAATATGAGCTCACTCTGCCCTTTTGCGGGAGCTACTAATGGTGGTGGCAGCGGCGTATGCCCTGTGAAAGCCGCCAATAAGAGCAGCGTTGGGTTATGCCCTGCAGCAAAATCTGACAAGAGCATCACTGGTGTATGCCCTGTCACCGGCAAGGGTCATGGCAGTGAGCACAAGGAAAGTACTGACGGCGGTGAAGAAAAAGGGCACCGATGATCCTCGCATGGTGCGGCAAAGTGCCCATTTGGCTACGACTGCAACACGTTCAAGCTGGGCCCGCTCAGCTGCATTGTCTGCCAGGCGCTGCTCCATGAAAGCAGCAAATGCAAGCCGTGTGCCCATAAATTCTGCAAGTGCGCCTCGTGCTCAGTATGCACTTTACGTTTGATTCCTTGATTCAGCAGGTTCTTATTGGATTTCCATTGCCAGGGCATGCATATCATGCTTTAAGGACTGCCCGCTGTGTGGTGCTGATATAGAGGGGATTGAGCCTGATGCCGAGCTTCAAGCGCTTGTTGATCAGTTCATTGATGGCCATGCCAGAATCAAGCGGTCACATGCTACAGGAGATGTGGAAGCAGCAGATTTCAAGGACAAAGTCATATATGAGGATGTTTCGATGGAGAGAGGAGCTTTTCTTGTGCAGCAAGCTATGAGGGTTAGTAATTAAGTCAACCGCTTTAGACTCTTATGTTGCGTGAACTTTAGATCATGGAACCTGTAAAAGTTTGATGATTAATTGTTCTCATTTTTTTCATGAATTTATTATAATAATGATGTTACAACAATGCCATTACTTTTTCTTCTCGAGGCTTTTCGTGCCCAGAACATTGAAAGTGCACAATCAAGGCTCACTATGCGTGCAGACGACATCAGGGAGGAGTTGAAATCTTCAGAAGATAATCTGGACCTACGTTCGCAGCTTGGAGCTGTATTAGGAATGCTTGGGGACTGCTGGTATGTTTTAACAAGCTAAAGTCTTTTCCATCGAAGAAAGGAAGTCTCACTGCTCCTTTACTATCTACTTTTGAACATTACAATAGGTGGTCCAATTTTCAGCATAAATTAGTCGTGCGGATTGAGGATGGACGGACTGATGCAATTAGGAGTATTTAGTAGGGTTCTAGCCTGATAGTTTTGCCATCCACTGGCTGCTTGCAACCTATTTGGATGGTATTCACTAAACGAGGAAAAAAAGAGAGCGTTCCCTGTACCAAGCATCGCGCTAACTACAGGCTGAAGTAGGCTAATAGCAAGTTAGCATGACCCTGATCAGCATGTCTAGCTACCTTGTTCAGCACACACAGGACCTATCACATGTCTCTGAATGTCTTTAGTACTCTATTTTGCTACTTGTCATTAGTGACTATCTATCTAATCTATGTCACTATTACAATGGCATACCTCATTGTCCATATGATTATGTCTTGTTCTTAATTCAATATTTATCAACACAATCAGCTGTGGCACTTAGATCTTATTTTGCTAAGTTTGTTAATCAGTTAGTCACTGAACTCATTCAACATTGCATCCTTGCCATTGTACTGTGTTTTCAGTCGGACCTTGGGAGATGCTCATTCAGCAATCACATACTATGAAGGAAGTGCTGAGATACTCTCGAAACTCCCCACAAAAGATCTTGAGGTTGTATTCAATTTTGGTGTAATGTAATAACATCGGAATTACTATCTGCTGATTTATCTTTTACATTCATCTGCAGCTGGTACATACTCTCTCTGTTTCACTAAATAAAATTGGTGACCTTCGCTACTATGATGGGGACCTCCAATCCATAAGAAACTATTATGCCCGTTCATTGGATGTTCGCAGAAATGCCGTAAAAGAGCACTCAGCAGTGGCTTCCCAGGTATGTTGTGCAGGAGGCAGGGAGTTATACTATACGTAAACTGTTGGGTGACACGGAACAGGAACGCTGTTGTTTTGTACTACAAAGGTTTGTCAAAAAGATATCTAGTTCATCTGTGCAATGCTATAATGGAAGTGATGTGAATCGTGTGATAGGGAAGGATAAAGAAGGGAGCAACAAACTAATGATCTGGAATAATTGGCAAGCTAGAAATTTTACTGTACTTCTGAGAAAATGGTAGTCAGTAATAACTGGGTAGTGGCAAACTTTTGTACTCTGTTGTATTCTTCTTGAACCTATGGCCTAGATAAATAATTTTCAGTCGAAGTATGACAATCCTGCTTTGCTGCATATATTTGGTCAAAGCCTGGCCTTGCTTAAATGGAACATTAGTTCTCTTTACCCGCTTTTTAATTTTACAGAAAACATGTTTATGTTATTCATCAAACCTCTCTTTTGAGAAGTTTTACATGTTTCTATTAGCTTGATTTTAGCTGTTTTGAACATTAGCTTGATTTTAGCTGTTTCCATTAGAGCTAATCTGTCGCTTCTAGAATAGACACATGATCCAGGGTGTAGTTTGCTTCTAGGTATGTGTGCTAAGTGTAATAGTATTTTAATTTGCATTTCTTGGATATAGGTCATTGATCTAGCAACTTCTCTTGCCAAAGTTGCTGATGTGGATAGAAATCTTGGGAATGAGAGCACCATAATAGAGGGTTTTGAGGAAGCAATTCAATGCCTTGGGAAGCTGAAGCTGGATTCTGAACAAGCTAGCCTTGAACAACGGGTAGCTATTGTTGATCCTCATTATTCCTACTCTCATCCCCGCGCCTATACCTGTTGTTCCAAACTAACCTTCATCACCTACCTTTGCAGCGCCTCTCTGTTCTCAAATTCCTGCACAACCAGTTGGCAGATAAGTAAGGCATGGTCTTCTCCGATCCTAAGAATGCATACACATCATATGTCTTCTCATGGTTACTTATGGAAGAGGTTCAATTTCACAATTCTTTTTTCTGTTACCTATGGAAGGAGTTGCTCGAGAAATAGCACACGGTTTGAGTGTGTTTTACCTCCACTTGAAGCTTTTTTCGTGGCACAAAATGTGTAGCACTGTAAATGTACCATATGTATGCTCAGCTCAGCGCATAAGATGGCTGCAAATGTGCTCTAGTAGTGTGGTAATCTAGAACAACGCGTATTACATCTGGCTTTACAGTGTCATGCTAAACCGACATCTTGTATATATTGACAAGAAGACAGGAAAATAACTAACGGAAGCATGGCTGATGTTTTCTTTATATATATAAGCGATGCATTCACAGGTCAAGCATGACTGATGTTTTCTTTATTATATATAAGCGATGCATTCACAGGAAAATAACTAACGAAAGCATGGCCGAGAGAATTATCTATCTAGTACTTAAACAAACCAGTCTTCCTTATTTGGCACTAAAAAAATCAAACTTTCTTATCTAGTATCAAGTAAAAATTTCCTTCTCTAAATGGCACTACGGTCCATTTAGACCAATAATGGTGTCAAGTGGTTAGTAAAATGACATGAATGCCCTTATTTCCTTCCCTCACTCACTACCTGCAGCGCCTGGTGCTGGCTGCCTCTCTACCTGGCACACTACCGGATACAGGAGCTTTGCCGAGTGCCAGGGACACTCGGCGAAACCAAAAAACACTCGGCAAACCATTTGCCGAGTGTTACATCAAGCAGAACCATTTGCCGAGTGTTACACTTAACAAACGGTTTTATCGGCAAATCTTTGTTTTTGCCGAAAGTGTTTTTTTGTCGGGCACTCCGTGAAGACTTTGCCGAGTGCCCAAAAAAACACTCGGCGAACATTTTTTGAAAAAATAAAAAAACAAGCGCCACCACCGGCCGCCACCACCACCTCTGCCCGCCACCACCTCCCCCACGGCCTGCCGTCTCGCCGCTTCCTGCGTCTTGGATCCCGCCAGTGTCCATTGTTGTCGGCCACCGAGCGATCCGCGCCGCCATCGAAGCGAGGGAGGGAGTCTGCCGGCATGCCGCTGCGTGCTCATGGGGTGGGGTCGCCGCCATGGATCCGCGTCATGGGAGACAATGCCACGAGGACCGTGCTTTCATGGGCCACCGCCTCCGCCTGTTGCCACCGTGGATCCGAGCACCATGCGAGGAGAGAGGCCGCGCCACGCCACGCCATGGATCCGGGCGCCATGAGGGTGAGAGGAGGCGCCCACCGCGCCATGCCACGGCGGGGAAGAAGGGAGGGTGGATCAGGAAGAAAAGGTGAGGAGGAAGGGGCACGGAGAAAGGAGAGGAGGAGGGTCCCCACGGATCCGGGAGGAGAGGGCGGTCTGTGGCCGGATCCGGGGAAGAAAGGTGAGAGGAGGGAGGAAGGCGGATTTGGAGGAGGAGCCGTGGCGGCGGATTTGTAGGGAGGAGAGGGAAGGGGCTGGTGATTTGGAGAGGAGAGAGGAGGAGAGGCTGGAGAGGAGAGAGGAGGAGGGGCCCAAGTGCATGCAAGGCCGGATTTGGAGAGGAGAGAGAGGAGGGGGCAAGCACGGACCGAGAGGCGGGCTTTTTTTCATTTGCCGAGTGTTTGATTTAGCATGGACAAAGTTTTTTTTTTTTTTTTCTTTCTTTTTTTCTAGAAAAAGATTTTATTTCTTTTGCCAAGTGTTTTTTTAACACTTACACTCAGAACCCCTCTTTGTCGAAAGTGTTTTTTTTCAAATATTTTTAAAGCAGCACTCAACAAAAACTTGTTCGCCGAGTGTCAAGAAAATACACTCGCCCAACATAAAAAAAAAACTCGGTAAATTTGAGGATTCCGGCAGTGGCATGACAAGGACGGAGCTCGATGGCCTCCTCTACTCGGCACGGCATGCTGCCGTCGCCTTCTTCACCGCGCTCTCCGTGGACGTCGACGATTTGCAGTTAGCAGCAGCAATCGTCGTCGCCGTGCCGTAAACAGTAGAGGCAAGCGGACCAACCGGCGCAGCACGCCGACACCACAGGGAGAACGAAGGCTCTGCCGTCCGGTGGGCCGCCGAAGAGATTGCCGTCCCGTGACCCGTCGGCGGCCCGTGTGGCGGCTTCAACAGTCTCCTCGACTTGGCACGGCGCGGATGGAGCTCCTCAAGGAGCCAGAACGGCGCGGACAGATCTCGGCAGCCTCCCCGACTTGGCACGGCGCGGACGTAGCTCGGCGGCCTCCTCGACTCGGCACGACCTGAACGGAGCTAGCTGGCTGGTCGGAGGGGCCGCGCCGCCTCCGCCACGACGCGGGCTGGCCGGAGCGCCGGCCCGCGAGCCCGCCCCGCCGCTGCCACCGCGCCGTGGCCTGGCTCTGTCGGGTGACGCCGCCCCGTCTGAGGACACGCGTAGCTGGTGCTGGACGCCGCCGGCCGCGGGATCCTCTGCTCCATCATCCTCTCCTCCTTCCAGCGATCTAGGGTTCGTTTTTTTTACGGAGAAGAATGTCGCGGCAGACAGGAGTATGGCTCGGGGAGTCGGGAGAGAAAATTGCTTGCGTTAGCACAAGAGGGGTATTTTGGTCATAATGAGAAAAATCTGATGTGGTCAAAACAGACTGTAGTGCTATTTAGGTCCCGTTTGGCAGAGCTTCTCTAGCGGCTTCAGAAGCCGTTTGGAGTCGTTTTCTGCTAAACGGGATAAAATAAAACGGCTCCACCGATGAAGCCCCTAAAAACGTGCTCTCACAGAGCTTTGGGGTGGGAAGGAGCCAAAAATAGTGGCTTCTCTCGGCTTCACCTCATTCTACATGGCGTTCTCTGAGAGCATATTTTAAGAAAAACTATATGTGAAGCTGTTTTACCAAACGATTTATGAAAACAGCTACAGCTCCACCCATAGAGCTGTTCATAGAGCTGAAGCCCCAAAAAAGGCTTCATGGGTGAAGTAGAGCCGTGTCAAACGGGGCCTTAAAGAAGGAAGTTTTAGCCTTCTCCACTTGAACTTATCGGCTTAGCTTATTAGATATGGTACGTTATTTTTTTCACAATAAATCAGCGAAAGTACTTTTCAGTCTGACTTTTCAGCGAAACAAGGCCTTGGTGCCATATAAGAAAGTTCGAATTTTTAAGTGACAAATGAGAAAGACTGATTTGTTTCTTTATGGCGTGCATGTATATGCATATAATCTCTCTAATATTATTATGGTTATACATTTATACTCATGCAAACTTTGATTTAAGTATTTAGTATAACAATATTGATAGAAATAAGTATTTAATATTTTAATATATATCTAGATATACATTATGTCTAGATATATAAATAAAAAAAATATCTAGATACATTGTGTTCTGATAGCGATGGGTTCAGCGTGAGCTAGAGACAACTGACACGAAAATGGGGAACTTAACAACCGGGTGCATCTGGCCCAGGCCGCCGGAGACGGCGATGTACCTGCCTACTTACTTTCATAGTTTTGATATCTGTAGATTCATAGTTTTCACTATGCATTTAGCCATAACATATATCTAGGTACGTAGCAAAACTATGAATTAAAAAACCAAAACATTTTATAATTTATAATAGATAGAGTATTGTACAAACTGGGTGGCGTGCCTGCAACATATATATTTATAATTTGCAGATGATGAATCGGAACACCCTTGATCGATGCATAAGCTGCTAATCTAAATTTAAATGCACCTAAAATAATTTCAGTGCAGAATCTTCTCTCTTGAGGGGCAACAAGCTACCTCGGGCCGTTCAAATATACTACTTGCCAATTGCCATATTTAGTTGGCAAAATTGGCCGGTGGGCATCAAAAGTGATAATCGCTTGTTTGGCGGACACCTAAAGTGAAGCCGCTTTGCTAGAAGACACTCTGGTTCGTTGAAATTTAGCCACAGGACACCGCTACCTAGTTTCAACCGGTTGAGGAGAGAAATTTTCAATATGGACATCCGGTGCCCTGAGCCACATTTGGGTTCGACCTCAACCCGGTCCGGTTGGACCAGATAATAATTGGCCTGCATCCCGTCCCCACTCTCCAATTGTCACTCTCCTTCCGTCACCACGATAAAGGCAAATGACAAAGGGTGGTGTGCGACAGCGCGGCGTTGGCGGGCATGTGTCGTCGACATGAAAGAGCAAGCAGAGGTCAGTTGAAGATGGCGGCTGTGCTCAGCGCTTTGTCCTTGATAGGGTCACGTGGGCTGAGGCAGAGGCGCAATGGCTGTGCCCTTTCTGAGATGTGCGACCATTGTGGAGCGGACCTCGTAACCCAAAACAACCTGCATAAGCAGTTCTACACTTGCAGGAATTAGGACTGGGTGAGTTATTTGCATTTCTTGTTGGTCCATTTTAGCCTTTACAAATCCTGATCTAGGGTTCATCCTAATCTTGTGTTCTTCGGCGTGAATGGGGCAACGGCCCGTGCAGTTTCTTCATGTGGAAGCCACCGAGCGTAGGAGATGGCGTGGATGCTGCAGCAGTGATGGCCAGCTTGAAGGCTTTGTAGAATTCTCTGGTGAACCTGGCTAATGTTGTATCTGTTCAGAGGGCTGCTGTGAGTAGAATAGCCAGAGAGCAGAGAGTGAATAGGTGGATGTAGTACTTCTCCAACTTGGCCTTCAAAACTTTAGGCCCAGGAGTTGGATCTTCCCTAAGCCAATTTATTACTCTGTCCTTGACGCAGTGATTGGTAGCCATGCAATTCCTTTGCACTTTGCTTTTGCTGGCACAGTTATGCTTGTGTGGTAACTTCTTAATCTGCACCCATCAATAAAACGAGGGAACAATGTGAAGAGTTAGTAACCAACAAATGAACATTGAATCAAAAACATACCTGCCATGTCCTCCCATCTTGACACTGAGATGCATGAATACTCCACCTACACCTCTTAGCCTTACAATGTGCTCTGTACCGTCGTGACTCACTATAAGAAACTACAA